TCACAGCGACATCGCTGGACCTGTCGATGCATCATCAAGCTCGAGCGATATGTGTACTCTTTGTCGATGGTTATTCGCGATACTGCACTGTGCGGCTGCTGCGAAAACGATCGGAGATGTTCCAATGCTTCTTGGAATACAAGGCGGCAGTAGAGACGAAGCACAATCGATCACTTCGACGCTTTGTCAGCGACAACGGTGGCGAGTATCTAGATGGTGCATTCGTCAAGTACTGTCGTGACCATGGGATTCAACGCGAAACCACAATCGCGTACACACCGGAGCAAAACGGGATGGCTGAAGTTCGCTTCCGTATTCTGTTCAACAAAGTTCGGACGATTCTAATCTCCAGTGGATCACCGAAGCAGCTTTGGGGAGAAGCAGTTCTGGCGATGGTCTACACATACAATCGGACTCTCGCCTCTGGTATTGGTGTGACTCCATACGAACGATGGCACGGTCATCCTCCTGATGTCAGCAACCTTCGGACTTTCGGCTCTCTCGCATACGTTTACGTGGCGTCCAAGACAAATGCACAGGGACGTGCCGGTGCCAAGAGGCAGAAGCTTGACGCAAAAGCTGTTCGAGGCGTATTTGTAGGCTACGCCGCCAACCAAAAGGGCTGGAAGATTCTCGACTGCAACCAAGGTGCCATCATATCGTCCATTCATGTAACCTTTGACGAAAGCTGCTCTGCTGCAGCTCGCGATCTCAAGCGTCAGGAGTTCCGCAAGTTGGCTTCACACCACTCCATGGATTTTGAGTATTACTCTCGGACCGCGACATCTGAGGTTGACTTGCTCTTCTACAGCCAACGCCCCACCGAAGAGAAGCCTTCCGCCAATGACATAGTACTACTCGAAGACTTCGTTGCTGGCTTTGACATGGACTCGGTCAATACTTCGACGACATGGCCGCAACTCCGCGCATATGCATCGTCATCCGCTTCATGGCTTCAAACGTTGGTCGGACCACAAGCGCTTACCAGTGAATCGGTCCATCCAATCATCCGAGCCGTTCGTAAGCAGAAACAGGCTGAGCTCCTTGTGGCACTCGAAAATCTGAAGTACAAGGAGTCGCTTTGTGCTGCGGTTGCTCACGGTATGGGCCTTGACCCTGCAACTTACCGTGAAGCAATGGCACGACCTGATGCGGCAAGATGGAGAGAAGCCACTGATGCAGAAATAGCGTCGCTCCTAAGGAACAAGACGTGGACACTAGTTAAACTTCCAGCAGGCAAGCGAGCTCTAGCTTGTAAGTGGGTGTTTAAACGAAAGTTTAACAGTGACGGGACCCTCGAGCGATACAAAGCTCGCTTAGTTGTCATCGGGTGCCAGCAGATTAAGTTTATCGACTTTGACGACGTCTTCGCACCTGTGGTGCGTTTGGAATCACTCAGAGTGCTGCTTGCAATTGTGTGCATTGAAGACTTGGAATGTGATCAAATGGACATCGAGACGGCTTTCCTGAACGGTGTGCTAGAAGAAGAAGTGTACATGCAACTCCCACAAGGGCTAAAAGTTGCCGGTCAAGAAGGTCTGGTGTGCCGTCTACTCAAAACCCTATATGGCCTCAAGCAGGCACCCCGAGCGTGGCACAAGGCGTTAGTGCAGTACCTCACCACTGCTGGATTTGAAGCTCTGCAGTGTGAAGCCTGCATTTTTGCTCGGAGCATAGGCATCAAGACGCAAATTGTAGCCATTTACGTGGATGACTTGGTGCTGATTGCTAAGACTCGGGGTGAAGTTGCTGAAATGAAGGCCGGCATCCAAAAAGCATTTCGTGCAAAAGACATGGGCCCCGTCAGCTACATTGTGGGGATTAAAGTAGTCCGTGACAGGAGACAACGAAAGCTCTGGATCAATCAGCAGTTAAGCGCAGACAGCATCGTAAATCGGTTCAACATGCAGCACGCGTTCGCTACTAAAGTTCCATCGATACCAGGGAAGAAGCTGCGAAAGCTTAACGGCGCTGATGCAACCGGCGATGTCATGAGTGAGATGGCAACGAAACCCTTTCGACAAGCCGTTGGAAGCCTGATGTATCTGATGATCGGGTCGAGGCCCGAACTTGCCTTCTCTATCCAAGACGTGAGCCGATTTCTCAATGCTTACGCTAAACCACACTGGGAAGCTGTGAAACAGATTATCAAGTATGTCAAAGGAACTACAGCTCACGGCTTGGAGTTCAGTGGGTCCGACGTCAGACTATCAGCTTATTCCGATTCTGACTACGCTGCTGACGAAGATGAGCGAAAGTCTGTATCGGGATATGTTACCTTCATTGGTAATTGTGCAGTTACTTGGAGCAGCAGAAAGCAACGCATTGTTGCCCAGTCAACAGCGGAGGCTGAGTACATCGCGCTCGCCCACTGTACCCGCGAAGTTCTTTTCATTCGACAGTTGCTTTCTGAACTTGGATATGAGCAGGAGGAGACATCGATATTTGAAGACAACCAGGCATGTATTGCTATAGCAGAGAATCCCACCCAGCACTCGCGAACAAAGCATATCGACGTACGGTATCACTTTATTCGGGAGCATGTTCGAGCAAAGCATATTGCTCTCAAGTACGTGATGTCAAAGGAAAACGTTGCTGATACCTTCACGAAGGGACTGGGCAAAGACCACTTCGGGCTGCTGCGTGGTAAGCTTGGAGTGATCGAGGTCAACGCGGATGCGGGG